AAAGAAATACGAATTTAGAGATTTGTTCAACCACATTAGAATTGTTTGATGGATGGGTTAATCGATTATCTTATGTCATTTATTTGGGGGAGTTACAGCTTGGTATTAGAGTTACTGAGTTTGAATACTTGGGGCTCCCGAGAAGTGATTTTACCACAATGGGTTTATTTCGCTAATTAGGAGATGTTCTGTGTTTTAATTGTTATGTGATAACATGCTCACTTGACTAGATAGGTATGAAATTGAACTTTTAGGATGTTGTTTGCATCTATTAAATCTCTTGAAGTCATGATCAATGCTTATTCTAATGGGAACTCTTGGTATTTCATGGGACAAACATTATCTTAAATGAGTAATCCATATGTGTTTATATGACCAAGTGCTTACGTGGAGTGAAACTAAGTGTTTGTGTGAATTGAAAGCTTATTAATTATCGTGATGGGACACGTGAGTTTCGCTTACAAGCACATGTGTGATTGTGTGCTAAATTGTTTCCTTTTGTCTTTAATTAGGATGTCAGGACGAGGACAGACTCGTAGTGGTAGAGGTGGAAGGCAGGGTAGGCCTCGCCGATGAGTTTTTGAGGTACCGGTTCATGAGGTTCTAGTACAAGAGAAGGGTTCGACCAAGCTAATGTGGTCGAGCAAGAAGCCCAAGAAAACGTGGCTAAGCAGGTGGAACAAACGGGAGTCCCGGAACAAATGGGTCAAACCGTTATGAGGGCTTTAGCTAGAGAGATGGCAGAGGCTTTATGTGACAACCTCGTTACGTATTATGCTTTTAATTCTTTAATTATACATGTGTTTATGTGCTTAATGTGAATTTGAATGTTAATTATGTAAATAATGTGGTTTGTGACTTCTTATCTATTGATTGTAGGAATATCTATTATAATATCTGTTATAATCTGAAATTGGAGGCCTTAATGGCGTCAGAAACAAAAATTGGTTAAATCATTGAGAATAGCATAATTTTTAGAGCCTAATGAGAGGTTTGATTAAACTTTGATTCAGTTAAAAGATATTAAGTTTTGATTAAATTGACCTTAAACCTAATTATTCACTTAATCCTTGATTAGTGATAGTTAAGCCAATTAGTATATAAATATGTTATAATCAAGGAGTTGAGCAAAAACACTTCAATTGGCTAAATTTTACAAGTTAGAGAGAGAGTGAGAGCAACTTAGAAAGAGAAGGAGCTTGTGAACTCAGAATTTGGCAAGGAAATTGGAAAATTGGGAAGAAGAACTTAATATTTTTGCTAGAATTGGTGTTATTGAAGACCTTAGTTAAGCTTTTGAAACCTAATTCATGAAACTAAGTCATTTCATATGAATTCAAGAAGATTATTTTTTTAAGTGTAAGAATTGAGTTTAGAATGAAGAATTAGAGGTTAATTTATACATGCATGCGTGATTTGATAGAGTTTCACAAGTTTGAGCAAGATTCATGTCACCCATGTTGAGTTTTGAAGCTATCTTATACATGCATTCATGAATTATGAAGTTTTAGAGCTTAATTCGATGATTTACAAAGTTTTGAAAATGAATTACATGTTTTTGTAAACTTTGGAAAGAAATTTGAAGTTTAATCATACATGCATGATCATTTGAATTGCACTCATGAAGGTTGGCCATGAGGCTTAAGAATTGGTCTTGAATCCATGTTTATAGAAGAGTTTTAAGTGTTGAGAAGTTGTATACAAGCCATGCAAGAGTTTGATTTGAAAACATAAGCTTTGAAGTTCAATTATGTTATGAAATTTCCAGAATTCTGTCTCACTACTCGAGCAAACAATCTGTTGCTCAAGTGCACATTTCATGCATCCAGCATTTTTGCAGATGTTTGCAGTTGGCTTGAGCGACCGCCTTTTATTTGCACCTTGGCTCAAGTGAACATCGAGCCTAGATTCAGACTATCCAATACTTTTGCAGACCAAGTGGTCTGCTCGAGTGACCAATGTTGTGCTCGAGTGAAGTGCTCTGTTTCAACATATTTTGAAGAGATATATTCTGATCAAATGTACATTCTCATTTCTTTCTAGGGGTGTAACTAGTGCGGGTTCGGTCGGGTTGAGAGGTTGTCCAAGCTTAGCCCAAGTTGTGCTGAGACCCGCTCAAGCCCAAATTGCAACCCGAGATTACCGGCCCAAGCCCGACCCAAGTGAAACCCGAATTGCCTGAGTTGCCCAAATTGTAAATGAATTTCAGTTTTTTTTTTTCCAGCTACAATATTAAATTATTAAAATTTGACTCTATTTACAATTTTTTTTTAAATAGAAAATCATTAATACCATCAAAACAAATAATTTATATAATGTAAGAGAAATGCTACTATAGTAGTCCTTACAATTTATGAGTGAAAATAAAAAGAAAAAAAGTAAGATTTTATGTTATTTGTATATATAATATATATTCAATATGATTTAATAATATAAATTACTTTAATATCATGTAATGGCTAATAATTTATATGTATATTTAATATTTTTATATATCTATATATATAATTCGGGATTCGGGTTGCTCAGGTTGTTTGACATCTTTGCCTAAGCCTGCCCAAATTTAATTTGGGTTTCTGAATTTTTGTCCAAGCCCGTATCAAATTTAAAAATATTTTGTCCAAGCTCTAAAAAAATTCGGGCTGGGCTAAGGTTGAGCCCGCCCAAGTTGCACCCCTATTTCTTTCTTAGTATTCTTAGGCATGAATTGAAGATCCTAAATGAATTAAAGAGTTAGAAAGAAGCCTAAGAGAATTAAATAAGTTAAAGAACAATTCGGTTAAGCAATGTAATTCAATGTGTGTATGTTTATAAATTGTGTAGGATCATCCGCGAGGATGAATTTGCAACCAAATCACTATGAGTAATATCTTAGTAAAGATATTTTCTTACTTATTCTATTTTTTGAATGTTCTAATGTGGTAAGCTTTTCCGAAACCCTTGATTTTGCAAACGTGAATGAGTTTCTATTTGTCTAATCAATATGATATCTGTAAATGTGATTGATTTGAGACAAATGTGTATGATGAACTCAAGATCGTTCTATATATTTGATAAAATGGACCCAAGGTCGTTATGAATATCTGATGAGTTTGATTATTTGTTATGTGTTGATCGTATTGTCATTGTACAGTTGTAAATGATTGGACCTAAGGTCATTCCATTAAAATATGATCAACTCTATTTTGTACATCTGTTATTTGTTGGACCCGAGGTGGTTTCGTCATCTATTGGGCCCAAGTCTGTTCCGTTACGAATTGTTTATGATATGGAAATACTTATGTCAGTTACCAGAACTCATTCACATAACCCCTTTACTTTGATGTTATTCACTATGTTTTAGCTCACTTTGTATTTATATGTATGTAGGAGAGTAGTAGGATGTCCAGCTCTAGCCTTACTGAACCCGTGAAGGATACCATGTTTTTGTGAAGTCTGTCATGAGCGCCTCATTAGTGAGGCTTTTGTTTATTTTGTCTTTTGATTTTTTGTTTCCTTTTGTTGGTCGTGCTCGACTGGTTCTGTATATAAGTTTAGTGTTTGCATGTTAATGACATATGAAAGATCTTGGACATATGAAATCTTATTATGAATTTATGAGTGTGAGTTATTAATATATATGAAGTTTTTGTTTATGCCATTTATGCACAAGCTCATTGGATAAATAATATTTTTCTACTTCCGCTTTTGGTCCCTTATTATTAAATATGTTTGTATTCTATCTGAGGCTGTTGGTAATCTCATGATTACTGGCAGGTTATGATCCAAACCTCTAGGGACGGGTTTGGGTCATGATAGAATGGTATCAGAGCACGAGTTAATAACTCACACACTTGTCCAATTGAGCAACAAGGTGTCTAGAAAAGCCTTAAGTTGTATTTATCTGATAAGAATCTGCTTGTGTGCATTGAGAATATGTGAATATATGGAATATGAACTGTTGTGTGAAATTTCTGTTTCTATTATAATGCAAGTTTATATAGATAATGATGAGAATAAGGCCTGATGAGATAGAAGAGTAGACTGCGGCTCAACTGGACAGAATGGAAAGAATGATCCATGATATGTCAGATGCATTAAGGCAACAACAGCAACAACCACCCCTACCTCTACCAATGCCAGTACCGTCTGTATAAGACTATTAGATTGATGATTGTATAATTGCATTGACTAAACAATTTAAGAAGATAAAACCACCGTTATTCGATGGGGGAGTAGACCTATTAAAAGCTAAAGCTGGGGGTCCTTGGAATTGAGAAGTTATTTGAAGTATTTCCGTGTGTTGAGGCACAAAGGGTTTAGTTGGCCGCATTCACTCTAGAAGATGCTGCAAAACCAGACATATGGTCAGAGATTGTCCCTAAAATGAACAAAGAAGTGGAAGGCCAGCCGCTAGTTCTACTGGATCTATCCCAATGTTAGGAAACGCTGCAACACCCATTGTTATGAGAAACACACTAAGGCAAGGAAGAGTTTTGGCACTCGTCCCAAGTGATGCACAAAATACTGAAGCGTTGTCTTAGGTACCCTTTCTATTTGCAATCAAGATACTTATGTGATAATTGATTCAGGTTCAATCTATTCCTTTGTATCTATTGCATTTGCATTTAGATTGAATAGACCCGTAGAATCATTGCCATATCTGTTGTGTGTATCTGCTCCATCTGAGGAATTTGTACTGTGTTCATCTGTATATCGTGCTTGTGAAATACGTATTGGAGATGCTACCTTATGTGTAGATTTGTTGGCCCTTGATATTAGGCATTTTGATATACTTTTGGAGATGGACTGATTGTCTAAATATTGTGCTACTATTGATTGTGTGACAAAATAGATTTTGTTTAGATCTCCGAGACATGATGAATTTGTATTTGTGGGTAATGGTGTAGTGCTTCCGCCTTGCTTGATTTCGACAATGAAAGTATGTAAACTACTTAAGAAAGGATGTCAGGATTATTTGTGTAGTGTTTTGACTAATCAATCTATGAACATTGTGTTAGATGATATTTCTATTATTAGAGAATTTCTGGATGGGTTTTTAGAGGAATTGCCAAGGGAGTTTGTTGACAGGGAAATTGAATTCACAATTAAGGCTGTACCAAGTACTCAACCTATTTCAAAAACTCCATATAGAATGTTAACCGCTGAAATGAAAGAATTGAAAGAACAACTGCAGGATTTGCTTGACAAGGGTTTTATTCAACCACGTACTTCACCTTGGGGTGCGCCAATTCTATTTGTGAAGAAGAAAGATGGAACCCTTACACTTATGTATCGATAATCGGGAACTAAATAAGGTAACAATTAAGAATAAGTACCCTTTACCACGCATTGATGACTTGTTTGATCAGTTGCAGGGTTTGCAAGTGTTTTCAAAGATCAATTTGAGATCTGGGTACCATCAATTGAAAGTGAAAGCTGAAGATGTCGAGAGAATTGCATTTTGAACAAGGTATGGACATTACGAATTTCTGGTTATGCCATTTGGGGTTGCAAATGCACTTGCAGCATTTATGGACCTTATGAATTGAATTTTTAAATCCTGCATTGAAAAATTCATAGCCATATGATATCTTAATGTATTTGAGAAGTAGAGAAGAACACGAACAACATTTAAGAATAGTTTTGCAAACACTAAGGGAGAAGAAATTATATGCCAAACTGAAGAAATGTGAATTATGGTTGGATGAGGTTGTGTTTCTAGGGCATGTTATTAACAGGGATGGAATTTCAGTAGACCCACAAAAGATTGAGGTGATTGTAAATTGGCCTACACCAACTAATGTGATGGAAGTCCAAAGCTTCATGGATTAGCTGGGGTATTACAGGAGGTTTGTGAAAGATTTTTCAAAAATAGTTGTGCCACTTACCCAACTTAGTCGAATTGTTTAAATGGAATGATGAAAGGGAATTCGCATTTCAAGAACTAAAAACAGGACTAACCACAACATCGATTTTGACATTACCCTCAAGTACAAAAAATTTTGTGATTAATAGTGATGCTTCTTATAAGGGATTGGGTTGTGTTTTGATGTAGAATGGTAAAGTGATAGCCTATGTACCTCGACAACTGAAACCTCATGAAAAGAACTATCTGACTCATGACTTAGAAATGGTCGCAGTTGTATTTGCTTTGAAGATTTGGTGCCACTATTAGTATGAAGCAAAATGTGAAGTCTATATTGATCACAAGAGTTTGAAGTACTTCTTTACTCATAATGAGCTAAATATGTGACAGAGAAGATGGCTCGAGCTGATTAAAGATTATGATCTCTAGATTCAATATCATCAGGGTAAAGCCAACATCGTAGCCGATGCTTTGAGTAGAAAGTCAACGGGGAACTTGGCATGTTTGCTGACTAAACAGAAAGAGATATTGAAAGGCTTAGAAAGAACCGAGATTGAAGTGATGTTACATGATTAGGGCGGGTTGATAGCCGTTATTTCAGCTCAACCGGCAATGATTGATGAAATTAAACAAAAACAAAGAGAGGATGAGTTCCTCAAGAAAGTGATTAATGAATTTGAATCGAGTCCGAAACCGGGGTTTAGTGTTGAAAATGAAGTGTTGAGATTTCAAGAAAGATTGTGTATTCCAAATATTTTTGATTTAAAGAAGAAAATTTTAGAAGAAGCTCACAAGTCCAAATTTGCAATGCATTCGGGCAATAACAAAATGTATCGGGATCTAAAGCAAAGCTATTGGTGGCCTAGTATGAAGAAGGAAATTGCAAAATATGTGTCTAAGTGTCTTCAGTGTCAGCAAGTTAAAGCCGAACATTAAAAATCGGCTGGGCTACTTTAGCTTCTCCCTATTTCGAAATGGAAATGAGAGCACATAACCATGGACTTCATCGTTGGGCCACCTCGGACATTGAAAGGTATGAACTCTATCTGGGTTATTGTGGATAGGTTGACTAAATTTGCACATTTTCTACCTGTAAGGACTAGCTATAATGCTTATAGATTGGCCACAATTTATATTGATGAATTTATTCGTTTATATGGAGTACTGGTATCCATTGCTTCGGATAGAGATCCAAAATTTGTGTCTAGATTCTAGAAAAGTCTTCAAAGAGCAATGGGAACGGGATTGAGGTTTAGTACCACATTTTATTCGCAAACTGATGGGCAATCAGAAAGAACTATCCAAACGTTGGAGGATATGCTCTGAATGTGTGCTCTAGACTTTCAAGGGAGTTGGGAAACTTATTTTGTTTGCATACAATAATAGTTTCCACTCTAGTATTAGCATGGCAGCATATGAAGCTTCGTACAGAAGGAAATGTAGATCTTCGATATGTTAGACTGAAGTTGGGGATATGGTCTTACTTGGACCTGGAATTGTGCAAAAAACCACTAAAAAGATTAAAGTCATTCAGCAAAGGCTCAAAACAGCACAAAGTCAACAAAAGAGTTATGCGGATCATAGAAAAAGGGCTCTTGAGTATGAAACATATGACCATGTTTTTATAATGGTAATTCCGATGAAGGGTCAATCGAGGTTTGGCAAGTAAGGCATATTATCACCTTGATACATTGGGCCGTTTCAGATTCTGGAAAGGCTTGGTTTGGTTGCATACTAAATTGCTTTACCATCGAGAATGGAACAGATGCACAATGTGTTTCACGTGTCAATGCTCCGTGCTTATCTTAGGGATCCATTCCATGTTATAGATTATCACCGGGTAGCACTTGATGATGATATGATATATGAAGAAAAGCCAATTTAGATTATTGATCAACAAGTTAAACAGTTGAGGAACAAATTGATTCCTATGGTAAAAGTAGAATGAGAGGAACACTATGGCACGGAAGGGACTTCAGAAAAAGAAGATGAAATAAAGCAAAGGTACACCGAGTTATTTCCAACTCAAAGTAACACAAGTTTGGAGGACCAAACTTCTTACAAAAGGGAAGACTGTGACAACCTCATCACGTATTATGCTTTTAATTCTTTAATTATACATATGCTTATGTGGTTAATGCGAATTTGAATGTTAACTATGTGAATAATGTGGTTTGTGACTTCTTATTTGTTGATCGTAGGAATATCTGTTATGATTTATATTATAATTTGAAATTGGAGGCCTTAAATGTGTTAGAAACTTAAATGGTTTAAATTATTGAGAATGGCGTAATTTTTAGAGACTAATGGGAAGTTTGATTAAAATTTGATTCAGTTAAAAATTATTAAGTTTTGATTAAATTAACCTTAAACCGAATTATTCACTTAATCCTTGATTAATGATTAATAAGCCAATTAGTATATATATGTTATAATCAAGGAGTAGAGAAAAAACACTTGATTTGGCTGAATTTTACAAGTTAGAGAGAGAATGAGAGCAACTTAGAGAGACAAGGAGCTTGTGAACTTGGAATTTGGCAAGGAAATTAGAGAAATGGAGAGAAGAACTCAATATTTTTGCTAGAATTGGTGTTCTTGAAGACCTTAGATAAGCTTTTGAACCCTAATTCATGAAAGTAATTCATTTCATATATTAATTCAAGAAGATTATGTGTTTAAATGTAAGAATTGAGCTTAGAATGAAGAATTAGGGGTTAATTCATACATGCATGCATAATTTGATAGAGTTTCACAAGTTTGAGCACGAGTCATGTCACTCATGTTGAGTTTTGAAGCTATTATATACATGCATTCATGAATTATGAAGTTTTAGAGCTTAATTTCATGATTTACAAAGTTTTGAAAACAAATTACTTGTTTTTGTAAACTTTGGAAAGGAATTTGAAGTTTAATCATACATGCATGATCATTTGAAATGAATTCATGAAGTTTTGCCATGAGGCTTGAGAATTGGTCTTGAATCCATGTTTATAGAAGAGTTTTAAGTATTGAGAAGTTGTATACAAGCCATGCAAGAGTTTGATTTGAAAACATAACCTTTGAAGCTCAATTACATTCTAGAATTTCCAGAATTCTATCTCACTGCTCGAGCGACCAATCTGTCGCTCAAGCACACATTTCATGCATCTAGTATTTTTGTAGATGTTTGTAATTAGCTTGAGCGATTGAGTAATTGCTCGAGCAACTGCCTTTTCTTTTGCACCTTGGCTTGAGTGAACATTGAGCATAGATTCGGACTATCCATTACTTTTGCAGACCAAGTGGTCTGCTCGAGCGACCAATGTTGCACTCGAGCGAAATGCTCTGTTTCAGCGTATTTTGAAAAGGCATATTCTGATCAAATGTGCTTCTTATTCCTTTCTAAGCATTCTTAGGCATGAATTGAACATCCTAAATGAATTGAAGAGTTAGAAAGAAACCTAAGAGAATTAAATAAGTTAAAGAACAATTTGATTAAGCAATGCAATTCAACGTGTGTAGGTTTATGAATTGTGTAGGATTATCAGTGAGGACGAATCAGTAACCAAATCATTATGAGTAATATCTTAGTAAAGATATTTTCTTACTTACTCTATTTTCTAAGTGTCCTAATGTGGTAAGCTTTTTCGAAACTGTGATTTTGCAAGTGTGAATGAGTTTTTATCTGTCTGATCAATATGATATCTATAAATGTGATAGATGTGACATGAATGTGTATGATGGACTTAAGGTTGTTCTATATATTTAAATTGGACCCAAGGTCATTATGTGTAATTGAAATGGAACAATGGTCATTTTGTGCATTTGATAAAATATACCCAAGGTTGTTCTGAATATCTAATAAGTTTGATTATCTATTATGAGTTGCCCGAATGGTCATTATACAATTTTAAATGATTGGACCCAAGGTCATTCCATTAAGATATGATCAATTTTATTCTGTACATCTGTTATCTGTTGGACCCGAGGTCATTCGGCCATCTATTGGACCCAAGGTCGTTCCGCTACAAATTGTTTATGATATCGAAATGCTTATGTCAATTACTAGAACTCATTCACATAACCCTTTTACTCTAATTCACTGGGCTTTAGATCACTCTATATTTATATGCATGTAAGTGAGTAAAGGGATGTCCAGCTCCAGTCTTAGTGAACCTGTGAAGGATACCAAATTTTTATGAAGTTTGTCATGAGTGCCTCATGAGCGAGGCATTTGTTTCTTTTGTCTTTTGATGTTCTGTTTCCTTTTGTTGGTCGTGCTCGACCACTTTTGTATATAAGTTTGGTGTTTGTACGTTAATGACATATGAAAGTTCTTGGACATATGGAATCTTACTACGAATTTATGAGTGTGATTTATTAATATATAAGACGTTTTTGTTTATGCCATTTATGCACAAGCTCATTGGACAAATAATATTTTTCTGCTTCTG